CCAACGTTGGCGACGCCGAGGACGCGTCAGGGGCCCTCTCTGGGCTCCAGCTTGGGGAGCAAGCGGATGTCAAGACGCCAGACATATCGATAGATGCCATGGACATCTCAAAAGAGACTCTTCTTGAGCCGGCTCGAGAGGCTGATGCGCAGCCCTCGGTGGCAAAAAAAGACGAACGGGTCACTCGGGGTCAAGCACCCCTCCACGTCCGGGCGCCGATTCCTACACGTTCTACGCTGGCGCAGTCATCCTTTTCCTGGATGTTGGAACCCGACGAAACGGTGCACTCGTCTTCAGAGTCCCTTCCCGCACAGACTTTCCTCGGCGGCTCAGGCGCGAAAGCAGTCTGGAACACGCGGCAAACGCATTTCCAACAGCGTCAGCCGGGACCGAAACGCCTTCCTCTTCGGCGAAGTGACGACGGAGTCGGATGGCGCGAGCCAGCCATCGACGGACGACATATTTGGCATGGAACCCATGACGGCGAAACATAAGGGAAAGGGGCCCGAGACCGGTCCGGGTCCGCTGTAGTTCTGGGCCCGAAAACAGGGGGGGTTGCCCATTATTTGCCCTTGTACGAGTCTAGACGAATGAAGTATCACGACATCATGCATGACAAGATTTTCTTCCGACATGTGCCTTTCATGTGACCGTTCTTCGGGGAATCAAATATGAGAAACGTAGAGAGAGAACAAGCACCTCAGATGAAGGGGAGACTCTGCGCATGCTCATTGCTGTCTCTCAAGTCCCATGTTCGCGGGCTGACGAGTAGCCACGTCATCTTGATAGTCGTTGCTGTTCGACATGATGCGCACGGCATGGCAGAGGTGTTTGAGCGAGCTACCATCATCAAAAGTAGGCAGATCAGGTGGATCACGTCACATCGAGAGCACCCTGGAACGGACAGAGCATTTTGGGATCGTTGTTGTCTCCTATTCACATGGCCGTTCTCCCTCCCTCTTCATTTCTCTTTTCTCCTCGCCCTCGCTAGTTTTTCAACCCGATCGGCCACTGATAGTGACAAGTATCGGATATGACCGCCCGGTCCCGTGCTGGATCGACATCGGGACCGAAGCATCTGGCGCAGACACCGCCAGCAGAGAGCATCGACGACGATCTCCTCGGCCCTCCCGAAGGAGGCGGGGGGCATTGGCAGGGGCAGGTTCGATGGTGTGCAACGCGCGTGATGTGCATGGTGATGAATAGGCCTTGGGACATGCGAAATCTCGTATGTCGACCAACGACTGGCGACTCTGGCGTTACACGACGCTAGTTACCAGACTGTCGGGTCGCCAGTAACACAGCAATTATTCTAAGCGACAATAGCCAGGTCGTATTGTGCTGTATGCTTGCAGAGAGAGGGGGGGGGGGCGTTTTGGCCTCTAGAGCCTGACTTTGGTTCGGAGAAGGGGATCCGGTCTGCCAAGCGTGCGACTCGAGGGACATTTCTCGTTCTGCAACCAACGCTGTCGGGGTTCCCCCTCCCCCTTCTCTTCACCATGGTCTCTCTTCAGCCCTTCGGTGTGGCAGCCAAGGCCAGCGGCGGTGTATCAATAATTGCCATCGATATTGGGGACTTTGGGACTTTGGTACTCACACGGTACACGCCGGACCCTCCAGCTGCGCCCCTCGAGGAGGATCGCCTGCCAGTGAGCAAAGACAGGATGGGATAGAAGAGGGCACAGAAGGGACTCGAGATGAGGC